AACCTTCCATTTTATTAGGGTACTAATTAAATAGTTTATAAGATCTAATTTTATAGCTATAAAACAGAAAAATTAATACTAACTGCTTTAAAAAGAACTGGGCACTAGTTGAAATAATGTATTCAAATTGACTAGTTTTCAGAGTTCTATGTTTGTTAAATATTCAGCAAATATTTATTGAACAGCTACTCTTTAATAGCCACAGAGTATATAAAGTTGAGCAAAAACACACTATGCAAGCCCACTTATGATAATAACAACAGCTAATACTTACTGTTCTGTGGAATAAAGGGCCTTGTTCTAAGGGCTTTACATGTTACACTGCAACCCCTCAGTAACTCTAGGAAATAAAAGGTTATCATCTTCATTTTACAGTTGAAAAATACTAGGCACTGAGTGATTAGGTAATTTGTCCGATGTTCAATAGCCAGTAAGTAGAGAGTTGGGATTTGACTCTAGGCAGTATGAGCCCAGAGTGTGCAGTCTTAACTGTTGGAATGTCCTTACTACCTATCTTATCTTCTAAAAGCCCCCCTTGTGGTGTACAATATAACGGGTAAGGCACAATAAATCATTCAAGGAAATGAAAATTTATAATTCTCATAAGTTCCATGAAGAGGAGTATGGCAGAAACTACTATTTGACTCATTGTCGCCAAAATGTTTCTCTTTTCCTTCTAATTACAGAGTTAGAAAATATACCCTAGCCTTACCTGCCATTAAATGTGGTCATGCAACTAAGTTCTGGCCTATGGACTGTGGATAAAAGTGAGGTACACCCTTCTGTGCCTAGAACAAGAAACTTTCCTGACTGATTCTCCATGTTCTTCAACCACTACTTCTATTCACCAGCTGAAAAAGTGGAGTTCAAGACACAAGAAACCTGGATCCTTGAATGACTTCGTGGGGCTGACTGTCTTGATGATCTGCTTTGGGTACTGATGAGAATGAAAATTTTTTCTTATATTAAATCAGCAGAAGATTTGGGATTATTTGCAATAGCAGTCAGCCTGTCTTGACTACTGAAGAAAATGAAACCTTAAAGTTGAATGCTGTTATAAGGAAAAAAGAGCTAAAACATGTGACCTTGAATTCCTCATTGGGTCAGGAATGGTGTGGGAACAGATTGGAGGTTGAGTTATTGTTATGCCATAGCAAAAGATTTGTTACAACTGTTGCTTGTGACAACTTAGAAGGTGGCACACTGCTTGCATAAGTAAGCCTATAGCTCTAGAGGAAGTTTTGGGAAAGAGAGTAATAGTGTGTGTTGGCTACTGTTTGCTAACTTGAGTACAGCATTATAGGAAAGAGAAAAAGCTCAAGCACGAATGCACTGATTTGCAAGCAGAAATAAAAGAGAATTAAAGAAAAGTCCAGAAATTTGAGGGCTAAAAGATGAGAAAGCTGACTATTTCTAGATTCCCAAATATAAAAAAAATATTAAAAACTTTGAGTAAGGTCCATTTAGACCCAGCCTCACAGCAATGATCTGATTAAGAGTGTGGTCTCCTCATCCAGGTCTGGTGGCCTGAAGTTAGATGGAGAGAGACAAAGAGAGTAACTGGGGAAGGAAAGCAAAGATGTAAATCATGCTTGTGAATTATGTATAGGAAAGAACTTTGGGTGTGGTTATTGGCACATACTGCTGACTGGAAGTAAACAAATTGGAGGCCTATATGTTTTTGAGGGATCATGTTGTCGAACAAATCCTTTCATCATTTGAGTTGGAAAGTAAGGTTTGGATCTCATATTTGTTCCGGTAGGAAGTGAGCTGAGCAGTCTGTAGGGAAGGCACACTTCCCAACACCCTTTTGCAGACCAGCAAAGACAGGGGTCGAGGAGTACAATGGACAAGGGAATCCTTGGAAAGAACACTGATATTTAAGTGAAGAACTTTCCTTACCTTTCATAATACCTATCCCAGCAGGATTCTGGAATTACTTTGGATACACGACTGCTGTATTTCTCCATTTGTTCTCTTTCTGATTGAGCTTTTATTTCACAGGTGTCCTTGCCTTTAAATAAAAAACCTTTTGGTTGGCTTCACTAGTTAGGATGAGCATGGATTACTTTTGTAAAAATAAAAGTAACTAAAACAGGCATGTTTTATGAAATAAGCTCCATGTGTTTCTTCCAAGGCTCCAGGCTAGGGTGCCTTTCCACTATAGTCTCACTTACACTTCAGTTATTGCTGTCTGTTTTCATTTAGCAATAGATTCCAGGAATACTCTGACGACCCCTAACATCCTGTCATGGAGGTGCAGGGCTAGGGGTTATAATGTGATATGAACATATGGCTGGCACCTTAAGTATGCAGGTAGTGTGGGAGAAACAAGGTTTGAAACATGAGCCAGAAGCTAGTCTAGGGAAAACTCTTCTAATCACCAGATATGTATAATTGTAAGTGAAGGGTAAGGAAATTTTGGTTCTTGTTAATGTCAAACCACAACGGAAATTCTCTCCTGTCGGGAATATACTTAATAATGCAGTATGCATAACTTAAAATTCACCATATATTTTATTTCTTTTTAAAAATGGGTACCATGTGAAATAGAACCAATCAGAATTCCTGAAGCAATACTACAAACAGCCTGTACTATACATATGAAATGATTTTTACCCATCTCAGCTATCAATAAAGATGAATTGATTAATCATGCTAAAAACTAAGTTATCTTTTTATCCTATTAAAAAGTTATTTTAAAAATCACTGTCACGTTCATAATACTCATCTCCTAGGCTTGCTGTGACATTGAAATGGGGTTAGGTGTATAAAGCACTCGGGTACAAAACCTGTCATATAGCAGGATGCCAGCAAAGGATATCTATTAAGAGATATCCTTTATATTGTCATCATATTAAGAGATAACCAAAGAATATACAGCCAAGAGATTTAGAAAAAAAGCATTGGGGATATGTTGGGCAGTTAATTAAATGTTGTATCTCTCAATTTTGTGTCTGTAGTATTTACAGACTTCTTAAAAATGTGTAATTTATTCATTTCTTTTCTCAGTCTAAATAAATACTCCATTTAAGTTAATTTGTATTTGTAATTTTTGCACTTGTTTTTCTCAAAAGGGCCCCACAAATAGTACAACCTTCAAGCCCCACAAAATGTGGATCCTTTTCTGACTTAAAAATAATACATATATCGCTGGTTGTCCCTTACAACAAAAGGTTTCGGGTTTGATTCCAGGTCAGGGCACATACCTAGACTGCGGGTTTGTTCACCAGTTGGGGGGTGTACAGGAGGCAACTGATTGGTGTTTCTCTCACATTGATGTTTCTTTCTCTCCCTTTCTCTCTCTCTAAAATCAATAAAAACATATCCTTGGATGAAAATTAAAATACTACTACTACTAATACATATCAGTATATCAAGGCAAGTTCCTATTCTTTTAACTGACATGACAGAGAGGGTTGCATGCAGACACAGAGCAGCAGGTGTCAGAATCAAGGCCTCCTTAAACATTAAGTGGTTAGACTTAACAGAAACTTACAGGAATGAAAATGTCCATAGCAGGGAAAACTTTGGGTAAATTCATTTTGAACGAGGAAACTTTAGGCATTATTTTTCTGTAATCTAAATTTATCTTGGCTGTTTTATGACCAGTCTCCACATAATATGGCACTCAGAAAACATGCAGGTCTTGTATCTAAAAAACAAATGAAAAGTAATTTAGATTTTTAGGGAAGATTTTTAAAGAGGCATTGAAGGGGGAAAGTATACTGCAAGACAGCAACAAAATGTTTAACAAGTCTCTCAACTACCTAATTCCTCTCAGTCCCTCTCATTATGACAGTTGCTACCTCTTATTTAAAAAAAATATTTATTTTTTATTTTTGTTCAAGCAGTTGTCTCCCCTTTCCTCCCACCAATTACCTCTTATTTCTTATCTCCCTTCTTTATTCTGTTCTTCTCTCCTGCAACTCTCTGTAGAATGACTTATTCTCCCCTAAATCAGTTCTTTATTATTGTGTGGATCATTTTAATTCTTGAGCATCTTAAATTCTCCTCTTTACTACTCTGATCCACACAACCAAGTCCCAGGAGGGACTTTGGAAACCACAGGAAGGTCTTTAAAAGGATGGAGAAGAGGAGTGGATGGAAGAGGGAGGAGGAAGATAAACGCTGTGTATATTATTGTTTTGGTTATAAATCCAGTCCTCCCATTTGCAAGTGAATAAAGTGAGGCCCAAATAAGTTTAGTGGCATGACTGTCACCTATTGAGTCACATGGAGTTGGGCCTAAATTTAAGCTCACTTCATTTCAATCTTTTGTTAAAGTTCCCTAGTAGGTAATCCTATGATCTGCCCTATAAGGGGTTGCTTTACATCCCTGGTATTGTCGAAAGAACACCAGCAGGAGTTTAGAAGCCTGGGTTCTTGTTCTGCTTCTGCCAGGCTCCATGACCTTGGGCAGGTCATGTCCTGAGGCTCAGTGTCCAACTTAAAGGGGAAGCAAGTTGAACGGTTGGGTCCTGTCCAGCACTAATATTCCTTGCTGTCTTGGGTCCTGTGGCTGTAGCTCTGTGGTGGCCTTGAGCTGGTAAAGACGACTCGCCCCTATTTGCCCTTCATCCAACTGGTGCAGAAGGGATCCTTTCCTGCACTCAGTAACCTCTTTAATGTCCTAGCAGCATAAAGAGAATGACCATCTCTTGGTTGAGGGGCGGGGAGTGCTCCTGACTTGGTCTCCCCGAGGGCTGCGAAGAGAGAGAATCCTTTCATGAGGATCCCACGCCGGAGACCGCTTCTTTATCCCCACCTATTCACAACCAGCTTCCACACCCAAGTCGTAGGTCCTCAGCAGGCCCACCACGCAAGCGCGACCACCAGTCCCGCGTGAGACTGGCAGAGGAATACCCGGCCGAGGCAAGGTGAGAAGGAAGGGTCGCCAAGACCCCGCCTCCCTATCGTCACGTGGGAGGCGGAGTCGGAAACGTGACGGCGTGCGCGGGGGCGGAGCTATCGCTGTGCGCGGGCGCGGGGGCGGGGCGCGGCGCGGCACTCGCGGCTGCTGCCTGGGAGGGAGGTTGGCCAGGCGGCGGAGCGGCGCGGCTCTCAACCTGACGGGGAAGTGGCTCTGGCGGCCGCGACTAACTACCCGGAGGCGGACGGACGGACCGACGGACAGGCGGGCGACGGGGACAGAGGCTGGGAGCCGAGCCGGGTGACTGAAAGAGCGAGCGGGTCAGGCTCAGCGGCGGCCACTCTGTCGGTCTGCTGAATGAAGTGCCCGCCCCGCTGAGCCCCGAGCCCGGCGCTTTCCCCGCAAGATGGACGGTTTCGCCGGCAGCCTCGGTGAGTACGGTAGGGAAATCGCCCCTCTCCTGCGCACGTTTGAAACCTTGTTCCTCCCACATGCAGCCCAGGCCCTGTTCTCCACCCTGCCCCTCGGGATGCCAGTAGTTATGCTGCACATGTTCCCCTCGAGGCTGCCGCCCCTGCTCAGGCTCCGGTGGATTCAGAGCCCCTCCCCCCTTGCTCAGCCCTCCAGTGTAAGACCCTGCTTTCCTCTCAGCTCCCCCCCTTTCAGTGCCTGGCCCTCCTTTCCCAAAAGTGAGAACCCCTTCTCTCAGAGAGGCCCCAGTAGCTGGTAACACCTCTCCCCGTACGCTCACGGCTCCCCCCACAGAACCACCTTCGTGGTTGGGACATCCCTTCGCAAACTCTGACCCCTCTTCACAGTACAATATTCCTCCCATTTTCCACACCCGAACTCTCAGAGTGGGGACACCCCTTATCCACGCAGAGGCTCCCTTTTAGTGTGGGGATTCCGTTCCTTCTCAGGAAGGGGGCACTCCGCCCCCCCCAAGTCTTCACTTTAAATTTGGAGACTTCTTGCATCTCTCAGTAACTGATCACTTCACTTCACTTCTCTGAACATTTTGCAGTGGTGAGAGAACCAGAAAAACTGAAGCATCATTTGCCTAATACAGAAAAGGAAGAGGTGTATCTGTGTTGGGGGACCCTCTTTAAGAGGAGTGAAAGGAGAAGTATTTTCTGGCTCTGCACGCGTGCTCGGGAGGAGTAATCCTGCCCAATGAATGCATAGGAAAGGGGGCCTCTATCAGGGAAAGAAAGGATTCTCCATTTTTGGAATATGTTGTGTTTGTGGAATGGAGAAAGGGAGAGGTTGTTAAGTAGGCTCAAGTATCCTTTGTGTCCCCTTTCACCCAAATAAAGGTAGTAAATTTTGTAACTGGCTACGGGAATCAGAACTCCAGGCTGGTACTCAGGGCCCTATAACCTGTGTCTGGAATTACTGTTCTTTGAGGCCACTGAAATCTGGTTACTGTAAAGATTGAGCTCAATTGTTAAGATGGTGAGAGAAACGGTTTCTGCTTTGGCTGATACTGCAGTTATGTGATACCTGCTGCTGTATTTGTATTTTGAGTAATATATTTGGAGGTAGCTTGTATTCAGACACCTTTCTTTTGCATTTCTTGATAATATATCCTTAGTTGGTTCATGTTCATGGATCAGTACATGATCTGGCCATGGGCAATACTTTATTCAGACATGTGGGATTAGATGGATTTTTTAATCTAAAGTAAAAAAAAAAACAAAATCAAGAGTAATGAACTCATCATAAGTATTAACTAGAAAAACCGTAATTTTGATCCTTTCTCTGGGGAGGGGAAAAAAAAGCACACATTAGAGTGTGTGGAGTGAAATCCTAAAATAGGCAACTGAGTGTTACTCTTTCCTCCCCAAAGGCACCTGTTGTCCATTATCTAACCTTTGATGTCTTATAATTCCTTACATAGTGAGGTTGTTTTCATCCTTGGGTTCCTTTTAAAGGGGCATCAACTTTTCACTGCCTTTTTTTTTTTTTTTTTTTTTGGTCTTCTGTCCCAATCTATTTGCTAATTCCATTGGACTGAAAGACTTGTCTTATATAGTCCACAAATGGGTGGTCATGTATAGGGTCCAAATTGAATGTCTTTAGGGATGTTGGGGGAGGCAGGGGGACCCAGCTGTCTGCCCTCTTGGCTCCTTAGCCAATAGGAATGGTGGAGTCATAGGAATGGTGGAGTCGCTGGTACTCACAGAATTAGCTGTTCTACTCTCCTGTTGGTTCTGAGCACTTTTGGAAGTGTTTTGAGGAAGTGTTTCTCACCAGTTGGGGCACTAAGGTTTATTTTGACATTGTGGATATACCTTGTTAAATAACTGTATCCCTTCTTACCATTTCTTGAGGCAACTTATATGAGAGACTGATAGATGATGGATTTCAGTTAGGGCTCCTGTGTTTCATAAAGAGTGTTAGAGCTCACCCCAATATTGGATGTGTTCTTACTCATTTGATGCCATCCTTGGGGTGGTACATTGGTGCACCTTTTCCTTTCTTTAGCTATAGTGTTGATTGGGAACAGGGGTGATGCTGGCCCCAAAAGAGAGGAACTTGTGTCAGCGGAGGGAGTATTTCTGGAGCTGCTTCTGATGAAGATGCTTCTCAGTGGGAGCACTGTGCTGTCTCTTTCTGCCCCCCCCCCCTTGTAAGAGTAAAACTAGGCCCCATCTTAATTGAAACCTTAAAGGGTTGGGGTGGGGGAGGGGTTGTGCTGGTATATTTTACTGGTAGCCTTTAAACAGAGCTTTGCTCAGCTCCTGCCAAATTCCTTGTTTCTGTTCCCTGCAGTTCATTAGTCTAGAGCCGAAAGTTACATTGATCTTTATTTTATTAGGACAGCCATGAATGTAAAGGCAAGCACTTGTATTCCAGTAGATGTTTAAAAACTTTTATTTAACCAAACAGGAATTCAAAACATGTGAAGTTCTTCTGAGGTCACAAGTATTGAAAGCGTTTATTTATTCTCAAGGAAGTGTATGTGCTAGATGGGTTCTTAAAAAAATGTGAAAAAAAAACTATATTTTTATAAGCGGAAAAGTTAAGTGCTTTATAAACAGAATGGTTCTAGAGAAACTGATATTTAAGGGGATCTTATGATGAATCATTTTGTAAGTGAAAAACTTAAAATTTAAACTGTACCCTTGATTGTTGAATGTTTAGATAAGGAAGACACTTACGTGCATTTTATAAAATATCTAATGGCAGTTAAAACTGTGTGTAGTGATTTTTTAAATCATTGAGATGAATAATCGATTGGCTATGTTATATGCACCGCATTGAAAGCATAGACCGGTTATATAACTTTACTTTTATGTACAAACAGCTAAGGGATGCTTTTAATCTCTGCAGCTGATGAATTTCAGGCAACTTGGCTGGCAGGTGCTTGTACTCTGGAATTTCCCTTAGGCTAGTGTCCTTTAGTTTATGAATTATGGTAATTAAAAATGGCAACACTTTGGAAGCAATTTTTTAAAAACTTAGTGAGGGGGCAAGTACTCTAAACAATCTATCTTGATGTCCTGCTTGTAAATCACCATATACATATATACACATCTACAAATTGTATATATAGTATATATTTTAAATCTCAGTATATGTTCAAAAGAGGGAAGCTGTTGACATGGCTGCTTTATTAATTTTCATAAGGCAGGGGATAGGTGCATTTCATGCCTAGTCTTTTTAACATCCTTTTTTCGTAATAAAGGCTTTCATTTTAAGAGTTCTACCTTGGAATTTACTAGAGGTTAATCAGTGTTTATATTTTAAAGACAACATACAGTTAACTACGTCAGTTTTAACTATTTCTGCTCTGAAGAATTAAAGAAAAAAAACGGAACAAATCTCAACTTTTTTAAAGAAAAGTTGTAATGAATGAAATCGTAGGGTTAGTATATATAAGAAACAACATTCTGGGTACAGGGTATGTGAACAAATAGCAGTATACTTCAGTTTATGAAAAGTTTTAAGAAAAAAATCTTTTTTCTATTACAGTATTAGAACTATGATTCTTCTCTCAATTACTCTTGCTTTCTTAAAGGCACAATGCAGTCTATGATTTTTATATATTAATCTAGTCCAAAGCATTCTTTATATATTTAGTCACATAAAAATGTTTCTTATGTAATAACATTATTGGGAATTTTTTTCGTAACGTTTAATTACTTATTGGTGGTTGTAAGGCTGAAGATACAGGCTTGAGTTATGTATATAACGTGACAGGAGTGGTAACTCTTACGTGGTCAGTACAACATCTGTAACACGAGTTAGCCAGAGTACATGTGTATAGGTTAACACCTATTTTGTGACCAGTACTATGTTTGGTGGTTTTTGTGGGAGGGACAAATCTATGACAGGCTTCTTGCTTTTAGGAGCTTACTTTCTGGTTTTAAATAGATATTTAGAGATGTTTAAGCATAAGGAGGGAAGCACCATTTAGAATGGCCATTCTAATCCTGTGCCATTAATGTATCAAGCATGTAACTTCTGAGAGAACATTTGCAGATTGCTAAATTTATCTCTACAGAACCTGGCTTTTTAAAACAATGAAGTAATTTATTTAGCAGTTCAAATATTAGGGAATAATATTACTAGGGTTTTTTCTGCTTAAGTTGGAATAACACATAGTAAAAGTACTCTATTAATTTCATGTATATGAGTCCATTTCTATAACGTAAAATTTCAATGTGCATAAGAAATTTGAGAAGAAAATTTTGATTTTAAAACAGATGAAATCTAAGATGTTACCAAAAGTAAGGAAATAATTTACCTCATCAACATTGCCTCAGTGTGAAAGATTCCTAATCTGCAGTATATTTAGCTGTCTCAGACTATTGTAATGCCTTAACTTTGCTTATTGATATGTAGTTTATAGAAAGCTTTATCTCATCTAATTAACCTGGGGAGAGAAGAAATTTCCCTTACATAGATGAGGAAACTGAGGTTCAGAGAGTTTACAATTTTTTAAAAAAGACTATTTGAATTCATATTTTTTCTTCTACTTTGCTGGGAGAGGGGAGTGTTGGAGACTAATTTGTCAGGTTTGTTATTTTATTATTTTAAATAATGAAAACAGTACAAAAGAATATAGAAAAATAAATTATCTTATTTCTAGCTCATCTGTATGCATCTGACGTTAATATGTTGATGTGATTGTTTTTAGGCTTCTTCTATGCCTACTTTTTTTGGATAGTTAAAATCATACTATAGATACAAGTTTGCTCTCTGGTGGGGTTCCCCCCCCATTGGGTCCTGACAATTTATTTTTTTAACTTGAACTCAGATTTTTCTGATGGAGCCCAATATTCTTTTCTCTACCCCATTACTGACTTTTCTTAACTCACCTGTACATCAAATCTAACGTACCTGAATCTGAACTGTTCTTCCTCTAACCTAGCTTCTTTTCCTTATTTTCCAGTGTCTGTAAGTATCACCTAGGATTGAAATC